AGATGTGTATAAGAGTATACTGTATATATATATATGTTTATGTATTTATATATATATATATGTATATATATATATATATATTGTGTATTATGCAATACCTTAAATATTTTTTTCATGTCATATGCTTTTTATAAACAAGATAATAAATTGGAATTTTATTCAACATACGAGTCCCTTAACTCTTGAACACGTAAAATTTACATGAAAGTATAATTGGTTACAGAACAAATTGTTAACATTAATTGTTAACATTAATTGCCATTAATGAAATAGAAAAATACAGCACAGTCTACATTTCGCAACTAGAAAAAAAATCTGATTTATTGTAGCTTTCACGGCGGTTTAAATAGAGCCAACTGTTTTTGATACTATTTCCGGCATCAGTTGGGGGTAAAATCTACATGTTTCGAAAGATTTATGTTTATTTTTTGAAGAACAAAAATGTTGTGTGACTGGGCATATGAGGTACATTTCGGTTAGATGTAGATTGAGAAGATAAACACTGGAAGATACTAAAACAGGTTGTTGTTTTTTTTGGAATTTTACCTTGAAGTGACTTTGGTATTGTAATCTACATCATTAACGAATATACGTTAACAGTGGCGTATCTAGAAGAACGCAAGCACCACCTCTTCAAAACCCACAAGTGAAAAGACGAAATAAACAGAATGAATCTAAATAATCAAAACTAACGTAATTAAATTGAACAAAATTATAAAAGGAAACCGTATGAATAAAATAAGGAAAAATACGAAATAAGCAAAAAACAATATAAACGAATAATGAGAAATTGAACGAAATATAAACAATAAATTAAATATTGGTCTAGCAGTACGAAATATATATAATAGGCCTATATACGAAATTATCTGAATGAATAAAATAAACTAAATAGTCTAAATAAATTACAGAAATTAAAAAAATAACGGAATGAACATAAATAATGAAATAAACGAATTTAATCAGTAATGAAAGTGGTAAATGAGTGAAAGAGTAAAATTAGTATAAAGATGGCTGGAATTTCAAAAAAAAACTATTGAATTGATACGTGGGCTATCAAATTCCAAATAATTTACTTTTGCCCTAATTAAATAAAAAGTACAAATAGTAAAATTATTGTTGGTGACAATCACCGCTGTCAACATTTCACCTGATGAATCATAACACTCATCCTCTTCATCCACTTCCTCTACCTCTTCATCATTCTTCTCCTCATCATTCTCTTCCCCACCACCATCATCATCCTCGTTTAATTCTCATCCTTATCCTCAAAATCGTCAACATCATAATCATTATTATCACTATCATCATAATCATCATTATCATTTTTAGCTTCCTCATGCTCACCTTTTATTATCATCAGTAGCAGCGGGTACTGCAATGCTATTCCGATGGCAGAGGAGAGATAATACCATCGATGGTTTGTCCTGACGTGATTACTGAATGCTCAGTACGTTCGCAAATGCTTTGCCGATTTGTATTAGGCCTATTTCTCCCGACGAAAAACAAAAAAAACAAAAAAACAAACAAACAAACAAAAAACAAACGCCATCGGAAACATTGAAGTACCGATGCTACTTGGGGATCCGATTCACCAAGCGCAAGCCCGGTGGTCGAGTGGTTCAGACATCAGGCTAGTTTCATTCCACCTCTCCCGTCGGGGAGAGCTGCCCTACTCCGCCTCCCCCACCCCCGTCGGGGAGAAAAACCACAATTCGTCGGGGAGAAAAAAATGTAGGTTTATATATATATTAGTAGGCACCAAAATCGGTTGAATAAGCCTTTAAAACCCCTTGTCATATATTTCTGAGGCTTTGCCCACTTTTTTTTCGTCGGGGACATCGGCCACTCTCTTCCCCTGTCGGGGACCCCTCGAACCCCCCATTGGGGGAAAATCCTGGTGCCACCACTGGCTGCCTGTTAGTTAATTTTACGATGGAGTTGTGGTTCTTTACATATATGTTTCTCTCTCCAAAGCCGCCAACAAGAGTAGGATAAAAGTTTGGATACCACTGGCGGTACTATTACTGGAACAATCTGGAAAAATGTCGTCGATACAAGATGACACCAAATTTGCGCCCGTTAATTTAAGATGGTTACGTAGAAGAAAACTTAAACACCTGAATCTGTGAAGTTGGAAGTTCAAGTGACATTTATGATGGCTATAAATACACTTAACAAGGATTATAGTGTCTGTGGAAACCAGGACATTGATTCATGTTTAGAGCATGTTCTGATTGATTGATTGATTGATTGATTGATTGATTGATTGATTGATTGATTGATTGATTGATTGATTGATTGATTGATTGATTGATTGATTGATTGATTGATTGATTGATTGATTGATTGATTGATTGATTGATTGATTGATTGATTGATTGATTGATTGATTGATTGATTGATTGATTGATTGTTTGACTGACTGACTGACTGAATAACTGTCTGGCTGGCTGGCTGACTGACTGATTGATTGATTGATGTATTGGAGATGTAGCTTGGTGATTAAGATGCTTGCTTTCCACCAGGGTATTCAATTCAAATCACGTGACAACACAGAATTATCTCTGTCTCTTATACACATCTAGATGTGTATAAGAGACAGCTGATGTGTACTCGCATAATGCGTGAAATATTGTTTGTTCCATTTTGTGTGGTAAAATAATTCTCCAGTTAATCCTTACATTGGCAACTACATTTTGATGTCATGGGGTAGGGCACGGGTATCCATCGGCACTTGAACTTTGATGACCCCCGTTTCTCTCGCCTCCTCTCCCTGTCCCTCTTTGACTTTCGAATACAGTGCCAACGCAGGGGTCGAATTGTCATCATATCAGACGAACTACACTGCATACCTGAAGGCCAGGAACATTTTCGCTGGATGCACTCCCCACGCTTCACCCACCGGGGCCAGAACAGCTGTCCAAGGTCAACCCATTTATACTGAATTGGACAGTTTGCTTTCTGTGTTAGCCATTTTTCTAGGATTGCTTCTGTCTCGTCACTTACTCGCACTCGATTTCCGTTCTCGTCTCGATATTTTATTGACAAATTTCGAAACTCTTGTAGAAGTTCCTCATCCGTTATTTCAACGACATCAACGTTTTTATTCCTTGGTTCATTTATACTCATCCAAGCAGGATCGAAGTCATCGCCCAGGATTTTGGTTAGTTTAGAAAGTTTTAAATCTTTGTCTTTAGGCTGTCTCTTATACACATCTAGATGTGTATAAGAGACAGCATCTGAGGCTATCATTTTTTTTCTTTTTTTTTACCTCCCAAAAAGGGGGGGGGGGAGGGCCCTAACCCTAAACCCCCCCCTCCCTAAATCCGCCCCTGTGTTTTTAGCCAAAGTTGCAATGCCCTTATCAAAATGTTACTAAAACAGTCCTATTCTTTTAAAGTAATGTATATTCGATTCGAAGATCAAATAAAATCGAAACTCGAAAATAACAAAGAAAATTTCTCGGAATACTACACATTACTTTCACAAATATGCATGGAAACAAGTTACTGTGGGAACGCTAAAATCATGACGTGATTTATAAACCATTAGACAAAAGCAGCGATAAAATCACGAATAGCGAATGTCCTTATTTAAAGTGATACATTCTAGCGAACCAAACAATTATATATAAATCTAATTGCTAATCTTTAACTACGTCATAGGCCTGTTCCTGTTGTCGAATTCTAACCAGATTTTAAAAACTGAGCCCACACTATCTAGTTTTATGCAACACATTGTAACACATTTGTGTGTAAGGACAAATCACACCAATTTGTCACATAAACGTCATGTTGTAACGCCTGGTTTCCATGAAAATTGTATACACGCTAACGCCGACTTCTTTGGTGACGCTGATTGGTCAGTTGAAAGGGAGCGTTCCCGATTGCGTCGGCGACAGCTACGCAGTGCAAGGATGCAGTGAAAACACTGTAGCGACTGTGTAGCGATTCAATGGAAACCAGGTTTCAAGTGACGAGATTTATTAACAAATAACAAATATGATTTGACTTCTAAACCATAACAATTAAGTGCTTGAATTTATAAGCAAACTGACCATCGGAACCTATTATTGTAACCAGCTATTGCTTACAAAAATTACAATGTAATAGATAGTCGTAAGCGGTCAAAAACGTCTGTAAAAGACGCCTTTTATTATGGTTGATGTAAACTATCTGCAATCAAATTGTAAAAAAAAAAGATGTTGATGTGTATAAACTCACAATTATTTGCAACAGAACATTTCTACTTTGCACGCGTTTTCAATCTTTAGCATCGGAGTAAAATCTCCAGCATTGTCACAATTCTGATGTGTACTCGCATAATGCGTGAAATATTGTTTGTTCCATTTTGTGTGGTAAAATAATTCTCCAGTTAATCCTTACATTGGCAACTACATTTTGATGTCATGGGGTAGGGCACGGGTATCCATCGGCACTTGAACTTTGATGACCCCCGTTTCTCTCGCCTCCTCTCCCTGTCCCTCTTTGACTTTCGAATACAGTGCCAACGCAGGGGTCGAATTGTCATCATATCAGACGAACTACACTGCATACCTGAAGGCCAGGAACATTTTCGCTGGATGCACTCCCCACGCTTCACCCACCGGGGCCAGAACAGCTGTCCAAGGTCAACCCATTTATACTGAATTGGACAGTTTGCTTTCTGTGTTAACCATTTTTCTAGGATTGCTTCTGTCTCGTCACTTACTCGCACTCGATTTCCGTTCTCGTCTCGATATTTTATTGACAAATTTCGAAACTCTTGTAGAAGTTCCTCATCCGTTATTTCAACGACATCAACGTTTTTATTCCTTGGTTCATTTATACTCATCCAAGCAGGATCGAAGTCATCGCCCAGGATTTTGGTTAGTTTAGAAAGTTTTAAATCTTTGTCTTTAGGTGGGTTCGTGACGCTCTGTAAATCGTCTATCAGTGGCAGAATCTGCGAGTCGCTTGCTATCAGAGTAGGGCGTTGGGAATAATCTGGTACAGATGATTTCTTTCCGCCGCATTGCCCAGCGAAAATCAACGCGATCAAAAACGCACACGTGTGCCACATTTCAATTCTTATGCACGAAACACAATTGAAAATGTTGGGAGATTATAAAGCGGCTGTACTATGTAGAAATATTTCCCAATAAAATTTTCACGTGAGCTATTTTGATGGCCTATCAGCCAAGGCTGTACCTCTTTTAGGCCTTCCTCTGGTGAGAAGTGTTAAAATGTGTAGCGTCTCAGCTGGTCTCAGCGTGTTATTTGTGTGCCAGTCTAGAAAACATTGTCTATCTCTGTTTATTGTCTTTCAGCTGTGAAACACACCTGAGCGTCATCGAGATTATGAAGGCCGTCTTAGTGGGATACCCCAGCGCCCGATTGAGAATCCATAAAACACTGAATCGACATCGCGTCAATCACTCATCTCCATGACAACTAAATCTAGCGACTGTTTCACTATGCCAAACATTCAGCCTATTTTAGTACTGACGATACAATATGTTTTTCGTTTTTTGAGTGTTGAAAATTAAGTGGCTCTCGATGTGAAGGAATGCTAAGCCGGGTTTGTTCGAAGCTAAAATCAAACTGTGAGCATGGGATGAGGGCGTGTCGCCTCATCTTTACCCCGATATTGTGCATCACTATTGGCCGATGCATATTGCAGAGTGAAACCATAAGGAAACCATAGGGGCTTGTTATTGTAAAGCTGAGAACCCGGCATAGCTGGTAAGCTGTGATTTAAGAGTTCTTCTTTCTCTATAAGTAGTTTGTTAATATGTATACTGGTATGACATGTATCATGTACGTCTAGGAATGTATGTTGATGCTGTTTACACGATAGGTCACACTGGAAACCCTGCCCGCACTTCATTCTTTTCTGAATTTTAAATAATTAAATTTTTTTTTTAACCTAGTTCTGTCTAAAGATAATAAACTTGTCGCACTCATATTAAATTTATGTAACTAATTCCTACGTATCGTTTCGTTTTCGTTTTTCAAGCTTTAATCGCAAAATTGAATGGAAACTATAGCCATCCGGCCGGTATCGGTGGTAAGGAGAGAGCGGACAGTGAAATAATATGTTGATGGTTTTCATTGACTGAATAACTGATTGATTGATTGATATGATTTATTCATTGATTTGATTAATTGATTGATTGATTGATTGATTGATTGATTGACTGATTGACTGACTGACTGAATGACTGTCTGGCTGACTGACTGACTGACTGATTGATTGATTGATTGATTGATTGATTGATTGATTGATTGATTGATTGATGTATTGGAGATGTAGCTTGGTGATTAAGATGCTTGCTTTCCACCAGGGTACTCATTTCAAATCACGTGACAACACAGGATTATTTTTTTAACTAATCCTCGTTATATAAGGATCTTCTATTTCGATTTCGTTTATTTGAGAGTTCTGCATATTATCATTAGTAAATGTCACTCACTATAATTTAAAGCTTTGTAAAAAAAACAAAAACAAAAAACCCTGTTGTTTGACCATATATAGTCATGATGAACTCATATTATGGTCATGATGTGATGTCATCATGACCATATTTAGGCATGTCACATGTTTTGTCAAATAAAATTTGATAATCTGGACAGAGCTTAAAAACGAAAAGAAATAAATGATTGATTGATTGATTGATTGATTGATTGATTGACTGACTGATTAAACGTACAGCAGCAATTTTGAACAATTATCAAATCAATTATTGTAAATTATCGATAATATTGTTTGATTTATTGGTTTTTGATAAACAATATGAAAATATTTATCAACTTCGATATTTTTATTGTATTTTTCATTTTGTTTACAATAAGGTGTAAGGTGTAGTACCGTATGTACCGTACTAAACTTGCTCTCTTTTAATTTTTGAAAAGGTGTAAGTAATATTCTTATTGGGAATTTTATATGTTTGATGAGAGCAGTAAACAAACAGACAAATGGTGGCTTGTCATATCATGGTATTACCGACATCATTGTGATAATGATGGTGATGATGATTATGATGATGACGATGATGATTATGATAATGATGATGGTATATTTTATAGTAGGTTAATCGTCTGTACTATTATTAATAATCATAAAGATAGGAGTGAAACGATTTGGAGATTAAATAATGTATATCCCTACACACGGACAGCGTTGCAAAAAAATATATGTGCTCTAATATTGTTTTTTTTCTATCAAACTCTATAAGAGACAGATATATATATAGGCCCTATATATATTAAATTTACCGATTTCAGTCAGATATGAATGGTTATAAAGCTATCAATTAAATCTAGGCACCCCTCCATATTAAATACATTAAATATGTAAAGGCGCCCTCTTCAACAGGTACCAGTAGTTGGGACGTAACATGGGTGCAGAGGTTTATTGGTGAAAGCGAGAATGGCTAAATCCTTCTTGGTGGGCTTGTTAGCAGTCGTGTAGGAATACGTGGTGTGCAGGATGTCTATGCCATTGTTGGCGCTCTCGTAGATGTCCTTTGTCTTGTCCACCAGGTCCCAGAGAAGACTTAAATCCACCTTTAAATTATAATTATGAAAAGGTAATTAAAATGACTATTCAAAATTAAAATGTAAGGTATGATAGGCAAAGGCCTATTATCATAACATTTTAGTAATATTTATTAATTATTATAAATAATAGGCCCTTTTCTATATATAACAAACCGATAAACAATAACAGTATCGAATGGGAACAACATGTTATAATCGTAATTTTTTTTTACATTCTAAAAGTAGGGGGAGGGGTTCGGATCCAGCCCGGCCACAACTTAATCCCCCTGTATATGGTCATAATATATAGCGTAATACAAATATTAACCTATCATTACGAGGGAGAGGAGGTAGGCCTAGCTGATGATTCATATGCTAAAGTTAAATCACTACTTAAAACTTCAATTCAATCAATAGAAATGCAGAATTCCCATGAATATACAATTATCTCTCTCCACTTATTATAGGCCCGGCACAGTGGCGGCGCCACTAGGGTCCAGGGGCATAGCCCCCCCCCCCTTGTCGGAGAAACTTAGACCCACCCCCACTCTCATCGGGAATAAGCTAATTATATCGTCTCAGGAAATAGGCCTACTGTTAAAACGCATTTTCACAGTCTAAGAGTGTCATTTTGTCTAGAAGGTTTAGCGGAAGCTATCCTAATTTGGTCCAAACAGGGTGGGGTTGTAAAAATGTGGCCACCTGTCGTAGAATTGGACATACTATAGACTAACTGTCGGAAAACTAGGAATTCTCGTAATGGAATTTCTGGCGCCCACTCATGCACCACAGCCCCGAGTCACATTTGCCCTTCATTACTTATGCCATATAACTCCTTTTTCCTTCCCTCTCTAAATTTACTCACGCGGAAATAGCCATTAAGCGGCGAGTCGAGATCAGCGACTACATAGCAAAGTAGAGTGATTGAGAATACGGTCAGAATGCACATCGTCAAGTTCATCTCGGGCGATTGTGTCTAAAGAGAAAATAGAAAATACTAAGCAATTATGGACTCAATAATCATCTACCAATTACCATTACAAGATGGAATTGATCAGGACATTCTAAAGATTGCGCGCGCCAAAATAATATTGCTACGCTGCGCAGCCAATCACGTATTCTGAAATTTTCAACAGGCAAGCAACGATAAATGCGGCTCAAACATAATTATGAGTTTAGTTAATCATTGGTTGAAGACTGACTACAAGGTTTAATGAAAGGCAGTGTCAATCGCTACGCCAGTCTCAATCAATTCCTAATTATGATTGGATGTTATTGTATACATGTGGATTAGAGTAGGACAATCTTCCAATCAGAATTAGGAATTGGTTTAGGGCTAGTACATGCCTTCATCAATTCCAATTCAATTTACTGGATCCACTTTTGATACAGTGTCACTCATACAAAATGTATGGTACCTCCAAGAAATATACAAAAAAAAAAGAAAATACATATAGAAAACGGAAATGTATATATATATATATATATGTATATAAAACTTTTTTGTTTATAAAATCGCTTCAATTGGGTTAATAGTTCACTGCGCCTTTGATAATTTTTTTTGAATTGGCGCGTTATAAATTTCTGCATAATTATTATTATTATTATTATTATTATTATTATTATTATTATTATTAGGCCTATTATATATATTATATATATATATATTATATATATATATAGCCTATATATACACATACATATATATATGAATATGTTCAGTGAATAAATAATAATGATCAAACATATTAAACATAACAGTGCTTTGAGTCTTGATGAGATTCTTATGAATACAATTGAATAGACGTTACCTCGATAAGCATGACGCCAAAGAAAGAGAAGAAGCCGACTACTTCCAGAAATGACCATTGTAGAGGATGCACTTTGAAGGCTAACGCCTGCTGACGTTCAGATCCCCACTTGTTTAATTCCATGATGTTGGAAATTATATGATCCTTAAAATCACGATATTACATTGCAATGACGTAAATATGAGTGAAAATATCGAATATTACTAATCAAATAAAAATTACTGAACTCATACGATGTAATATTCAACGAAACTTCATATTCGGTAAAATATTCAAAATAACATCGCCCAGTCCCCAAAATTCTATGTTATAATTGCAAAACGTCAATGAACTCAGCATAAAATATTGTATTAATCGTTACAAAAGTAACATCATTATCAAGAAAAACATCGTGGACATTAGTGAACAAAACACCTACCATAATCAGATTATCAACACTTAGGTGTTTATCCTGCACATTCGATCGCAGAATCCCCATTACCTGATAACAAAGAGCAATACAAAGAAATTGAAGTATGAATAGAGTACCTACTCGTTTTGGCACTTTGCATGAGACCCTTGGTTGTTAATACTAAACAACTGTGCGCTAGGCCTACGTCACTAAACTTTATCACCAATCAAATCCGTTAGTCACTCTAGTTCGCGACTGTGTTCTGTGGTACAACATTATATTATGCCAAATAAAAGATGATCAATATCTGAGGATAATATTTTGTTAAGAAGGCAAGTGTAGAAAGTGTGCTCATTGTACTAAGTGCGCTCATTGTACTAGCAAATTTAACCTACAGGCACTTTCTATCATACAACAAACTGTGACGCAAATAGTGGTGCGTCACAGTTTGGAAATCATAGTATATTTACTATCCAATTTGGGATTAGAGGAACATTTTGTGGTCTGTGCAGACCCGTGCATGGGGCTTTCGTTGGAACTTAGGGAAATTGTAGCATTTTCTTGCACACTTTAACGGTATGCCGATACAACTTTAGTATTTGACGTAATGTTAAGATGGGCTCACAATATTCAAATTATCATAATCATCGGCGTAGAAGTCGTCGTCGCCGCCGCCGTCATCATCATCATCATCATCACCATAATTGCTATTTGTTGCTGTTGTTGTAAAATAAGTGTATATCATTCTACTACAGTCTGCGAGGTCTCGTGTCGTTTGAATAAATTTGACGCGCTGTTTTGATATTAATGGGAACTTACCTTCCATATTTGACCAGAGGACGTGTTGGACTTGTAGTCAGAGATGCTTAGTCCTCGCTTGCCTTGGATCTGCTCCATGATCGAGATTGTCTCATCCTTCACACATAAGCACACCTGAGATAAACAATAGATTAATATACGATTTAATGATAATAATAATATTATTATTATTATTATTATTATCATTATTATTATTTATTAATAATAAACAATATTAATGATAATAATAAAATAATTATAATAATAATATTAATGATAATAAAATAATAATAATAATAATAATAATAATAATAATAATAATAATAATAATAATAATAATAATAATAATAATAATAATAATTATTATTGTGAAAATAGTTTTGCGAGTACAGTATTTTACCAACCTTCTTTTTTTCTTGAAGGGTCGCATTGGGAAGCTGCGCTGTCAGTGACAAGATTTGATCGAGAAATCCTATCTCCAAAGAGACAGCGTCAAGAATAACCTTCTGTTTCTCCAAAACTGATTGAAATGTGAAACCAAACGACACTCTATGGACGGAAAGCAGTTTGGTTAACACAGAAACCGGTAAATTTCGAAATCCTTGATTATTGAACTTTAATGATGCATGCTGATAAAACAAAAAACCCCACACATTTCAGAATAACACAAAAGAAGATTTAATTGAAGACACAAGTTTCGAATTGACAAGATCAGTACAGAAAAGAAACAAACCTCTTGACTAAA